TTCTTACAATTGTTCTTGTAAAAATGGCTACTGGGGAAATGGAACAGATTGCCAAGGTCAGTTTAGGCGGCGCAATATTTTCTATTTTTTGGTTTGCCGTAAAAAAAGGGCGTTTCAATTTCAGAAATGCTATATATACCATATAATATAAAACGGCTCAGCTATTTCATATTACTCCACGCAATTCTGTCTATACTACACATGTCTTTCCAAGACCCATCGTGTATGTATCTGTTTAGTGACAAAATGGTATTTAGTATGTAGCCTGATTCTTTTACCATGTTCCTTGTACAAATCTGTAAAATGAACATTCCTAAATACACTGACAGAAGAGATGCAGACTCTTGAGTTACAGTATCAGTCTACATTTGAATGAGACCGCCTTTTGAAGGAGTGTTACTAGGTTGTGAAGGAATGTTACTATAGTGAGTGTTACTATACATAGAGTGACTATCGCCCGTGATATTCACCAGATATTGACGAATGTACCAAGGGAATTGACGATTGTGACTCCGGTGCCACATGCAGTAACGTTGATGGTTCATTTAATTGCACTTGTATTTCCGGTTACTCAAGCTACGGAGAAAATTGCAAAGGTTAGTACGAATCCTTACTTGCTACACTTAAGGCCCGTTTACACTTGCAATTTTTGCTGCGATTTTCTGTGCGATGTCTTTTTTTGATAGATGTGAACGAGAACTTAGTTACGGATGTTCTGATGTATAAGATCTCTTATTTGAACATTGGTAACTATAATTCACTCTTTCATATCTATCTAAAGAAGAAAATCGCACATAAATTCGCAACAAAAATTACAAGTTTAAACCCGGCTTTTAGGTAGCTTTCGAAGCATGGCAAATTTAACACGTGAATTTAAATTTTCACATTGGTGAAATTTCAGTATTTCTTATTATAATATAATTACAGTGCAACCGCAATTTGATTGATCAATAGCCATGCAGGATCAGGCAATTTCAAGAAACACAAAAAAAGATAATCTGAATATTAACATTTTGAAATCCAGAAAACGAATGTGTTTTTAAACAAAACCAGAATGAGTGATAAGCGGTATTTTATTGTTAAACGAGGTTGACTGAGGCTACAAGGAGATCTTAAAAATATATAGACAATAATAAAAGCTATGACATGAATCGAAAGGTGCATTCAAAGAAGCATAGAGAGAAGAGTGATTATATCTGCATGTCGTAATGTAATATAAGTTCGAGTTCCTTGCGTCAGAGGAGAAACGTTGGTAAAACCTGTATAACTATATAATTAATTGTGAGCGTTTTAGATCTTGAAGATTAGTTTTAATATTAAAAAGTCGTAAGTCTGCGGGTTTTATCTTGATAGGTTATTTCCGACAGTTTGTAAACACCCTGACTAAATTTTCCGTATATTCAGCCCTAATTTCATTAATTTGGATTTGGTATATTCTTACTTGGACAGATCGCAATTCAATGGATGACGATGGAACAGAATGGCGAGATTTATATACCGTGTTACTTGTGTTAGGCATAATCATGGGATCTCTGCTTTTGGGTATTGTTCTATTTTATCATCGTCGCTCAGCGAGAAAGAAGCTAGGCATGATCAGCTTCCCTGTTATACAAAAATACGAAGAAAATTCAGCTTTGGAAGATTTGGATTTGGCTGAAATGAAACTAGGAGACAGTAATCGCAAGTCGTTGCATGGAAACTCCGATAACAATGAAATGTCGTGAAAAAAGGCACTTTTTAAGATAATGGCTATGCTTGATTGATCTTAAATATTGGCTAATATTAATTTATTTCTCTGTTATCAACTGCAAATAATCAATAATGACATTGCTAGACACTGTTTAGCAGCGCCAAATGCCTTAATCCTTACCTTGTTCCATATCAGTCTCGATTTTACAGGCAGGATGCACTATAAATTATGATCTATAGCCTAGGGCCTTGAATTTTTTATCTCATCATTAATTTTGAGATTTCAAACAATAATTACTTCATAATATGAATACTACGCCAATTTATGTGTTTAGAATCATAATTATACGAGTGCTCGATATACCGAAGTATAGGGCTAATAAGACAAGAATAGAATACAGTAAACTTGGTTTACTTTATATGATTTTGTTCACTGCAAATTTGTTTCGTATAACAAGCAGTGCTTGCCACAATCATCAGGTGAATTTAAATTAGTAGACAGTATACAGTAAGTTAATATTGGTAGCCTAGGCCAGAGTAGATCGAGTGATTGCAATAGATAGTTTTGGGGTTTTTTGGTCACTCTGACATAACTATGCGCAGATGATCTTTTGTGGATATCTGCATAAAAGTATTTAGAGTATTCTAAATAATTCTGATTTTCCGCACTCTTGTTATACTGGGTGTATGCACAGTATATAAAAAATTCTCCCCTATTGAAATGTCAGTCGTTGTCGATTGTTGAAATTTCAATGCATGACTAATTAATGCACTTATAAATAATGGCAAAGTAATTAGGTTAAGCCATTCAAATTGGGCGTCTAGCTTTAATTTTAAGCGTGAGTTTGGCAAACTCACCCGGTACACATGCATATACAGTATTTCACAGAACTGATCGTAACACAATCATTATGATGCAGTAAAAGAGGCTGGTTACTACACCAGTTCATGTTACAATTATACACAGGGAGCATCATAAGCATTGCGGTAAGTTTGTTGATACAATTGTTACATATCGCTCCAAGTTAACTTGAATTGTTTGAGCTACGATGTCTAACCATGAAGAATAATCATATAAGTCCATGTGAAACAGGATAGTTACGTCTACTGTTAGCCGATGTAGAAATAATGCTCACTGCATGTCTGGTAGTTCACTGTCTGGTAGTATAAAGCCTGGATTTCACAATATCATAACGTAGCATCAGCTTAACAGACCAAACATTGTCATTGATCTGATTTTTAGAGACGGATTATCCGTCGGGACGAATAAACATAAATAAATCTTAGGCGAACTATTAAGGCGAGTATCTCAGACGAAACAGAACGAACATGCTTGGCAGGGCCGGAAATCCAAATTCAAAATAATGGAAAAAATTTAATTAGTTAAGCAATCATTTGATATGTGGTAAAAGGAGTGCACAAGCGATGGTACGAGCATTTATTTTCGTTTGGTGAACTCCAGCTGAGCTTGGACATACACGCGCTCACTGAAATCATATTAATTCTTCGTTCCCGTAAAAGCTGCAGTATATTGTTCTGTTCACACGTAAACACAAATCAGACCTTAACAAACGGGTTCAGCATTTTAATACTATTTTTCAGTTATAATTTTTGTCTGTCGTGTAGTTTACTTATTATGCATATCTTGTATACCTTAAATAAATTAGCGCTGGGATTTCTTTTTTTGGCACTGGGATTTAAAAATTGCACTTCACTAAACCAATGAGAATTGTGAATTTTTTTATATATATTATTAGAACACAAAGTTAATGATAAGTACACGTACTCGGCATAAATTTTGCCCCCTAACAACTCCTGATCCGTTCTACAGGGTGTCCCAAAGAAAACGAAAACTATTGAAATCACCCATAACAATGCCATTGTTAGAGTTTGAATGCCTAAGCACTCTGTTGGGCCCACAAGTGTACAGGGTGAGAAAAAAAAAACTGACACCTTTGAAATTCAAATTAGCCACATAGCGGCTGTAATGTGACAGAAGTTGCCTAAAATATCTCATTGGTATACGAAGCATAGCATATTAATTAACCTAAAACATAAAGTTTGTTCTCTTTGGGGGTTAAAATGCATTCTAAGCTCTGTAAATACAAAAGAACAGTTTTATCAAATCGTTTTTGTTGATTGTACATGGGAATTGTCATACCAGCCATAAGTTCGCAGCTAATTTGAATTTCAAAGGTGTCAGTTTTTTTTGACTCACCCTGTATAAATCGGGGTTGCCATAAGCATTTTTATGCCTGCATATGATGCAGTCAAATTTGCTTGTTCGCAAAAATGATATTTATTAACAATATTTACAATTTACAAATATGGATAACATTATTTAAACGTGCATCTCAAGGACCATGACCTTCGACATGTTCCCTTTCTCTAGCAACAAAAAGCATTTAGCATTTTATAAGCTGCATTAGATCCCCACGGGCTGAAAATCGTGAACACCGCATTCAAATTGTAACAATTAATGAATGGTTTCAATAGTTTTCGGGTTTTTTGGGACACCCTGTATATCCTATGATCATTATTATCTATGTTAATGACTTTCTTCTGAATAAAAAGATATAATGATAAACACTGCAACTAAATTTGCGTTAATCTTTTTAGATGTTGTATCAGAGGATACTTTTTCATCTCCTGGTTTGTATTCTGTTATTCTCGCCTTCAAACGAAATAGGTAAGAATACACAATGCAAAACCTAAGAAACATAAAATAATAAAAAATGATGGAAAATAATTATCTATGTCGGTTGCACGGATTTTTGAAAAAATGAACTGGTTATGAATACGATTTTTGTATCGTGTACTATATATCCTTCAAATGGTTCCTTGAGAGTTTGTCTTCGTGTTAAAGATTTTGCAGGGAATCCCTTTGCAGAAAAGTAAGTACATAAACGTCGTTTTCCAAAATCGCGTCCATATATACCAGCCATTCTGGGAAAAAAGGACGGCGCCAGGAATGTGGAAGCTCATAAAAAATAGATAAGAGAACAGATGAAAGGATGGGGGGGGGTAGAGAAAAAATAAAGGGGGTACAGTTTATGCCTGTTAGAAAGTGGTTATTTTATTGCTATGGAATTTCCCGTTGTTCGATGTAACGGAGAATTAGCTCTAGTGTCTTAAAATTGGGGGTTATTAATGAAAATTGTTAGCTGTAATGATTTTAAAATGGCTGAAAAATCACAATATGGATAAAAAACAACTTTTATTTTCAGGTATTAATATAGCTAATTTTTATGTTCTGAGAAATGGCACTGCAACAAGTGCAGAAGATTACTCAGATGAGGAGAAATCAGTTTCAATACAAAGTTCTCTTCAACAGTATACCTGCGCTAATATTGACATAATGCAGGATAACAATTACGAAACAAACGAAAATTTTACAATAATTGTGACGTTGAATAACAATCCCAGAGTTCAAATAGCTGTTGGGAAAGCCACAGTTACTATCGCAGATGATGACGGTAATTATCTTTAAAAATATTTCATATTAGCATTCGTTGGGAGAATTAACGTGACACGGGTTGCTTTGTTATGGAACTTTTGAACCAACATGGAAGAAAGTTAAGGCGAGAGAGAGGATACATAATTTTCGCTACTTTTTTGTTAATTATTACTTCCAGATATCGACGAATGTTATGCAGGGACTCACAATTGCCATGAAAATGCCTATTGTAACAATACTGATGGTTCTTTCAATTGTTCATGTAAATATGGTTTCAGGGGAAATGGAACAGATTGTCAAGGTTTGGCTTAAGGTCCCTGTAATTTTAGGAATATTGAAAACTCGTGATTTAGATTTAAAATTTTTGCCGGAGATTTATCGATAAAGGAAAATAAATTTCCCAGATATATTGACCAGCATTCTAACAGTCAAGAATCCTCCATACGTCATTGCCGTTGTTCGTCATTACGTCATCCTCCATACGTCATTACGTCATCCTCCATACGTCAATGACGATTCAATATTGCCGAAATTTCACATATTTACGCATTTTACGCATTTCATGTAAAATGTCGGCCATATTGAGTCGCCATTATTACCATAACAACGGCAATAACGTCACACTTAAGGACGATTTCGGACGGTAAGAATTTGGTTCAATATATCTGGGAAATTGCTTTCCTTTGCAATAAATCTCCTGCGAAAATTTTAAATCTAAATCACGAGTTTTCAATATTACTGCTAAAATTTTAGGGAGCCACCTTAAGTAAAGCATAAAAATACAGAAGTCTAATGACTAAATGATAAGGGATAAGAAAATCAATGTCATTGTCTGGTAATATCACACTTGTGTTAGAAAAATAATTAGCTACTATGCCTTCGTTATCAACTCTCTTTCAATCGTTACTGGAAACATAAAGTGAGCAAAACCAATTAGTATTTGTGAACAATAGAAAAATATTTAGAACTTTGTCCGTTTTTAATGCAAAGTTTGAGAAACTTTGCAGTATTGTGATGAGTGGCGAAAATTCAAACGAGTCAGACAGTCAGTCAGTCATATTGTAAACTTTACGGGGGGTAGTTTGATTTATGCGTATAGTAACTTTTTGTATATGATCAGTAATTTAAAGTTTTTAAATCAGTTTAACTTGCTTTATTTATTAATGCACTATATCCCTTTTGCAAAGTACACCAAAATATTGAGGAATTCTGACGGTTACTGTAAATTTTGAAGCATTGCTTTTCCGCGGTTTGGGTTTTGTTTTAAAGGGATTTGCGCAATATTACCCCGCCGGAACACCTGATTTTTCTTATGCGTCGCAACTGCGCATGTGCAGTCGACACTTGAACATTATAACACGCGACCAGATCAGTGGGAGCGACGAGTATTGCTTCAAAACATTCCGGGCGCAAAAATCGAGCAATTCTTTGAGAATCTACGCACTTTATCAACTTATGTTATGAAGTACGAGCATTCAATTCAACACGAATATAATTTGGAAGGTTTATTCCATAAATAGAGCTAAGAGGTTAGGAAGAAACGACGCTGTGTTGTTTATGTATTGATTATTTACAACGCAACTATTTTGGCTATTATGAAGTGACGGATAAATTGTTGCCATCATATAAATATAGTGAATGTAGTCACAGTTGTTTGGCGAAGAAAAGAGACTAAACTGAGAAAATCGCGCCCGGTTAGGCCGGTTTACATGGGCAACTAAAATTATAATTTAATAGTGACAGCATCTTCGGCTATTAAACGTAACTTGAGTTCTCTGAGTAATTACTTTTTGATTAATGTTTAACCTAGTTCATTATATTTTTACTGGCATAAGTCAAAATGTTTATGTTGGGACAAACGTCTGGTTGCTCAGGTATTACAGGACATGAAAACTTTGCACTATCCTTGGATCCCTAGTTTTATTTATTTTTTCCAGATTTCGACGAATGTCATGCAGGGTCTCATAACTGCCATCACAACGCCTACTGTAATAATACTGATGGCTCTTTCAATTGTACATGCAAAAATGGCTACTCAGGAAATGGTACAGACTGTCAAGGTTAGACTTCAGTATAGTAAAATGCAAAAGTTTGGAAGGTCTTCAGGAATGGGGCCCACACAAAAACGACGAGACAATTTTTTTCTTTTGATTCCTGTAAGTGGCTATTCACAGAACAAGTGGATGTGTTGTAACAACTTCAGCATACGAAATTCCAAACACCCTGTTTAAATTTCGAAACATTTTCTTTTAAAATGCTGTATTATTGCCGTCCCAGTTGTATTTGTGGCGAAAGCACCCCCCCCCCCTCTATCGCGTCCTTCGCATCCTACGCTCTTGAAATGCGTTGTTGAGTCATCACAAATTTGGAATTAATTTAATACTCATGATTTGGTTAACACCAGATTTATTGTTATTTGGAACGATTGTATTCGTGAGCCATCACAAATTTTTATCTTTTTTATACCTTTTGTAAATTGTTATTTCCAGATCTGGACGAATGTGGTGCAGGGAATCACAGTTGCCATCAAAATGCTCAATGTAACAATACTGCATGATGGTTCTTTTGTTTGTTCATGCAAAAATGGCTACTCACGATCAGGAAATGGAACAGACTGTCAAGGTTAGACTTCAGTATGGTACAATGCAGAAGTTTAATTTCCCATAGTTCTACAGCTTTAACCTTCGCAGGAAACATCAACGGCATTGTCTAGTCATCGCACACTTGTTAGAAATAGGATCCCTAGCTTTTAATTATTACTAGGCAAACAAAGTGAAGAGAAGCTATGTGTTTGAGAACAGTAGAAATATATCTCGAATTTTTTTTTTTCCTGAATTATAATTTCCAGATTTAAACGAATGTGTTGCAGAGAATCACAGTTGCCATCAGAATGCTCACTGTAACAATAATGATGGTTCTTTTAATTGTTCATTCAAAATTGGTTTCATTGGGAGTGGAACAGACTGTAAAGGTTAGGCTTGAGTATAGCAGAGGTTTTCCATAGTTCCACAGCTTTAAACATCGCAGAAAACTTCAATAGCATTGTCTAGTCATTGATTTTTTTTACAAATTAAATATGATTGGTTTCTAATGCTTTATTATGAATACTGAAGTAGAAACATATAATGAACAAAGGCGATGTATATGTGAACAATAGAAAATATCTGAAATTTTATCTTTTTTCCTAAAGTATTATTTCCAGATTTCGACGAATGTGATGCAGGGAATCACAGTTGCCATCAGAATGCTCACTGTAACAATACTGGTGGTTCCTTCAATTGGTCATGCAAAATTGGTTTCATGGGAAATGGAGCAGACTGTCAAGGTGAAGCTTGAGTATCGCAGATATATATCGTTGCCTAACTTGCATTGTAGCTTCACAGCTTTAAACTTCGCAGGAAACATAAATGGCATTGTCTAGTCATCTCGGTTTTGTTAAAAATATAATCACCATGATCGCCATGCATTCGTTATCAAAAGACTTTTAGTTTTTACAACGACATAAAGAAAACAAAACGAATGTGTTTGTAAACAGTAGAAAAATATCAAAAATGATATTGTTTTTCCGACATTATCATTTTCAGATTTAAATGAATGTGTTGCGGGGACTCACAACTGCCATCAGAATGCTCACTGTAACAATATTGATGGTTCTTTTAATTGTTCATGCAAAATTGGTTTCAGGGGAAATGGAACAGATTGTCAAGGTTAGGTCCTGACTGAAATCTTTCTCATGCTCTTTTATCGAAGGATTTTTAATGTTAAGAATATACTTTTTTGTTAAATTTTCTTTCAAGATTTCGATGAATGTAATGCAGGTTCTCGCAATTGCTATCGTAACGTCTACTGTAACAATACTGATGGTTCTTTCAATTGTAGATGCAAAAATGGTTTCAGGGGAAATGGAACAAGCTGTCAAGGTTAGGCTTGAATATAGTATAATACAATAGTCTAACTTTCTAGCAATTGCTCAAAACTTCAGGAGCTGTATTAACGTTTACAGGAAATATGATTACCGGGTCTTGGTTATGACCACTTTTGTAACAAATCTTGGTAACAGTGAAGAATAGCGGAATGATTGAAATAACATTTTTTTATTGTGAGAAATATTGTTTAGACATAACAGATTGTATTTGGTAGATTCGTTCTCAAGCGTCTTTGGGGTAAATGCAGTGTCTTTGGAAGAATTTCATTTTGACCAATTAGCAAGTTTGTTTACATTTTCATTAACCTAATCAGAATGTATAAATTTTCAGAACTTTCGGTAAAAAGGTAAATTGTTTACCACTTTACACGACGTTTTAAAAATTAAAACATTCTGATTGGCTTTGTCTAAAAAATGCAAACAAATATTATGCCGATTAGTTTAAAGCGAATTAAAAGAAAATTTCGTCGGTACTTTATATTAATCAGCATAAACTTTATTCAGACCAGTATTTTTTTAAGAAAAGTGTCTATTTGAGAAAAAATTTAGGATTTTAAAAAACACGGAATCCTATACTTGTGGATTTCAGATTCAAAGCTCAATTTTTCTAGATCCTTTTTCGACATTTTTTCTTAAATTTTATCAGAGTCTTAAAGACAACGAATGTAGCGTTAGAACCCGAGATTGCGATTTCGATACTTTCTGCAATAATACTAAAAATAGTTTTCATTGTGCTTTTGAAAATACGTTTTAATTTGTAATTTCAACTCGTTTTTTTAGACTATTCGAAAAGCAAAGAATATTTATATCATATTCTTAAATCACAGAAGTATTATAAATTTCACAGGCATTATAAAGCTGTTTGCAAATAGTGTTTGCCCTTTTTGAATCCAACCCGGCTTGTAAGGCGGAGCAAACGCGTAACAATAATATTTGAAAATGAATAATTTTCTATAGATTTTTTTAAACAATTGACAACCTCCTGTGGCCTATCTACATAATATAATAACTTAAAGAATTCAAAATATTATCTTGTGACAACTTTGTCTCTTCAGCTGAATGCAATAATTGAATATACCAAGCTGTATCGTGGAGAAATGGTCATGCGGTAAAAGTTATTTAAAAGTATCTATGCTTCAGCAAGGTGAATATTATGATTATCAAGGTAAGTTCTTAATATATATCTGCTGTATATTTTATGGTGGTATAAAGAGAATACAGTCTAGTTTAATTATACCAGGAAACCGCTATCAACCTTCCGCATATTGTGGGGAAAACAAGACTCCATTAACCGTGTTTAAATTATTGTAGTCAATACGTGTTAGTCGATACGAAAGAGCGTTGTTAACTCTTGAAAGCAAGTCTGATGATTTCGTTGTGGTGTTTCTTTCGTCTCGACGATAAGCGTCAACGTAAACAAATGTGATAAATTTTCGACCAGTTTAATAAAAGATTTAAAGTAAATCAAAGTCTCATCTAAACATGAATTCTTCCGTCAAATATTGTAGTCTATTGGTCAAGTATTGTACTCTATTGTACGCTGTCTGTAATTTTCCTAATTGATCAGTGATCTCATATGCCATAACAAACTATATTTTCGAAGGAGTTACAATGAACTCTACATAATCATAAAGACAAATTTTCATTTGGTTGTTATGGCTACCTTCTGGAAACACTATATATGGGTAATTAAGTTGCATATCGCGGTTAGCCGAGATTAAACCAAGCTTGAGATGACTTTGGGTAATGAAATGAGCAAATAACATGATTCTGGCAGTAATGTAGTCATCCTAACAATAGCATGTACTTGTATGGTTTCCTAAAGACTTGTTTTGATACCTCAAAGTCGTCTCATTCTTCGTTAAATGACGGCTAACTTCTTAGATCCACTGAATTATTTTCCGACAGACGAAGCATTTTTCGCACCAGTAACATGAGATAAAGGAGACCCTGGTGCTTAGGACAAGTAGGAACCTGGCTTGATAGATAGATTATAATAGTTTACATTCCCAAAATTAAATAATATGAAGTAGCTAGAAAATTGGAGCTAAAAAATGGCGGAAATTAGAGGAGTAGTTATGAAAGGTCATTCGCAGCGAAATATTTTTCATAATTTAAACGGAAATTATTATTTTTCAAATTTTGGATTCTTTAAAAAATAAAAAAAGGAACTAAAGCTTTTTTTGGTAATTTGTTTCTCCGTATCTACCTGATGTGGCACTATATATTTTTTCACCACATTTTCAGTGAATATGAATTTTTCCCTTAGCTTTTAAGTAAATTTTCAGCCTTGTACCCAGGCGCTTTAATAGTAAAAAGTAAAAAGTTTATTTATGAATCGAAGTGTGGTTTTTCGAAATATCAAAATATTATTTAAGATTTCAAAAGAAACACCAAAGAACGTTTAAACCAGGACAATTAAGCGAGGAAGCAGAAAAAAGCCAGCGCGGAAAATGTAAATGCCATTGTCGTTGTTTGTGTAAAAGGGGACGGAGTAGATGTCTAACTCTGTCTTGTATAGATATCGTCGGATAATGTGTTTGCATTGTTTGCATGCATGGCGGTAAAATAAGCCAATACAAAATTTACATTACAAATTTGTGAAAAGGTATTTACTAAATCAGTGCAAATATCCCGAACACAGTACAAATTTGTATGAAAAAACGCACTTCGGAGAATGTATAAGAGATGATTCTCAGCATTTAGCTATATAACAGTCAGGGTGTACGATGAGCACATTTATAATGATAAAAACAGCTGTACAATTTTTTAAAAACTGGGCAAGTGCTGTACATGTTATTGAGAGTTTATTATGTCAACAAAGCATATTAATAACGGATTCAACTTTATCTTGCATGACCCTTAATGTTTATAAGCAAAATTTTTTTGGCATGTAGAAATCTTGGCCATAATTCATGTCATAAAGTAATCAGCAAAACAATGGCAGTCTAAATGGTTCATACTTTTATGGCTCCTCGTGTATGCTCGCGAACCCCAAAATTAGTTGTTTGCAAACAATGTTTGGCCTTTTTGAATCCAACCTGTAAGGCGGAGCAAACGCATAACAATAATATTGGAAAATGAATAATTTTCTATAGATTTTTTTAAAGAATTGACAACCTCCTGTGGCCTATCTGTGTATAATAACTTAAAGTATTCAAAATATTATCTAATGACAATTTTGTCTCTTCAGCTGAATGCAATAATTGAATATACCAAGCTGTATCGTGGAGGAATGTTCATGCGATAAAAGTTATTTAAAAGTATCTATGCTTCAGCAAGGTGAATATTATAATTATCAAGGTAAGTTCTTAATATATATCTGTTGTATATTTTATGGTGGTATAAAGAGAATACAGTCTAGTTTAATTATACCAGGAAACCGCTATCAACCTTCCGCATATTGTGGGGAAAACAAGACTCCATTAACCCTGTTTAAATTATTGTAGTCAATACGTGTTAGTCGATACGAAAGAGCGTTGTTAACTCTTGAAAGCAAGTCTGATGATTTCGTTGTGGTGTTTCTTTCGTCTCGACGATAAGTGTCGACGTGAACAAACGTGATAAATTTTCAACCACTTTAATAAAAGATTTAAAGTAAATCAAAGTCTCATCTAAACATGAATTCTCCCGTCAAATATTGTAGTCTATTGGTCAAGTATTGTACTCTATTGTACGCTGTCTGTAATTTTCCTAATTGATGAGTGATCTCATATGCCATAACAAACTATATTTTCGAAGGAGTTACAATGAACTCTACATAATCATAAAGACAAATTTTCATTTGGTTGTTATAGATACCTTCCGAAAACACGATATGTGGGTAATTAAGTTCCATATATCATGGTTAGCTGAGATTAAACCAAGCTTGAGATGACTTTGGGTAATGAAATGAGCAAATAACATGATTCTGGCAGTAATATAGTCATCCTGACAATAGCATGTGCTTGTATGGTTTCCTAAAGACTTGTTTTAATACCTCAAAATCGTCTCACTCTTCGTTAAAATGACGGCTAGCTCGTTAGATCCATTGAATTATTTTCCGACAAACAAAGCATTTTTCGCACCAGTACCAGTGACATGAGATAAAGGAGACCCAGGTGCTTAGGACAAGTAGGAACCTGGCTTGATACATAGATTATAATAGTTTACATTCCCAAAATTAAATAATATGAATTAAGTAGCTAGAAACTTGGAGCTAAAAAATGGCGGAAATTAGGGGAGTAGTTATGAAAGGTCATTCGCAGCGAAATGTTTTTCATAATTTAAACGGAAGTTATGATTCTTCAAATTTTGGATTCTTTAAAAAATAAGAAAAGGAAATAAAGCTTTTTCTGGTAATTTGTTTCTCCGTATTTACCTGATGTGGCACTATATATTTTTTCACCACATTTTCAGTTAATATGAATTTTTCCCTTAGCTTTAAAGTAAATTTTCAGCCTCGTACCCAGGCGCTTTAATAGTAAAAAGTAAAAGTTTATTTATGAATCGAAGTGTGGTTTTTCGAAATATTAAAACATTATTTAAGATTTCAAAAGAAACACCAAAGAACGTTAAAACCAGGACAATAAAGCGAAGAAGCAGAAAAGAGCCAGCGCGGAAAATGTAAATGCCATTGTTGTTTGTGTAAAAGGCGACGGAGTAGATGTCTAACTCTGTCTGGTATAGATATCGTCGGATAATGTGTATACATCATATATTATTTATATATTTATAAATAAACAGTATTCGAGTGTATCAGTAATTCTTTTTCCCAAGTAGATTTGCCTAGCATTGAAAATAGTACCTGAGAATTCTAAGCCTCAATAGTTGATAGAAATTCTGAATGTAAATAGGCATGCACTATCCGCAATCGTATAAATATATTGTGGTACAAAATTGGCGACTTCAGAAACGTTTCCGTCGAAAGCATTTTGGCTATTTGAATAATTTGATCTCTTATACAGTAAAACAGCGTGAAGATAAAATAACGAGAACGCTACTACGCTCAAGTTTTTTTTATTTTTTTTTTGCTAACCTTTTCTTGCACGTAAAGTAACTATAGTGGTACTAGGTAGAATGGCATCATAACTATTAGATAGCGTTAAAAATAACTATTAAAAATCACTGCGTGTTTCGACTTTCGAGAATTATTTAGTTTTAGAAGAGCGGAGCGAACGCAATCGTCAATAAATTCCGGCAACACCAGACGCCAACAAATCTGAACGTTATAAATTAAAAATATTAATTCTTGATTGACAGCGGATTAGACTCCAGCTAATCATCAATTCCCATCCACCAGTGGACGGTGTTTCTAAAAAACATAGCAAAAAATTTAGGGACAGCCTGCCAAATAGGCTACAAATATTGGTAATACTGTACCAAATCAAATGACGTCGTACCGGAGCTGTTTATTTCATAATAAAATGTACTTACATTTTTTCAGTGCCTTTTATGCGAAAAATAAAAACGTGAAATTCCCAAAAAGTCTTATGGCATTTTTCTTAAATTTTATTTAGAGTACTTCTAAATTAGAAATCCTCTTATTATTAGACTAAAATCTGTATGTTTATTGCTTTTCCAAGCAATTGTACAACGGTGGATAGCAGTTATACAACGCTATCCAGCTTTCGTAAAGATGCAAGCTCTCCTGCCCCCTCCCCACCCCCCTCTGATGAATGTATATTACCCTGACATTGCGCAAAGTAGTCATTTTAAAATTTGTAATTGTTGCTCCTTACATAAATTATGTTGCCCCGTTCATCCATGGGTGGTAGCCCGATAAAGATTTGAAATGGTAGAATTTGCTCCAGTTGCACTATTATTGCTTTTTCATGCGACCTCTATGACGTCACAGAACTCACAGCGAAACTGTAGTGAAGCGCAACTGAAGCAAATTCGACTATTTTAAATATTTGCTGGACTTCCTATGGTTCATCGCTTGCAAATACAGTACATTCAATGATTATTTCTGTCCCTCTGCTCGACGAATAAAATTTTAAATTATAACCAACATCCCTTAGATGCAGTTGTGGAAGTCGATATATTTGCATCTCTTTGTATGTGTTCTGGAAATTGTGTCATCAACAGCACAAGGTAAGAATTAAACAATACTTAGACCTTTTTACACTAGCTATACCGAATTAGCATGATCATGAACCCACAGCATCAAAAATTGCTATGTAAAAGGAAATTTTATCTCCCAAAGTATGGAAGCCTGACCCAACCAAGCGTGGAATGACACACGTTCATCCGACCCTGATCCGAAAGGTCTGTTCACACGGTCCAATTTTTTGCATCCAATCCACTCTTGACGTATGAGATAGAGTCGGTTGTTGATAAAGCAGTACAGCATTGGCTTCAGTGGGTTTGCTGCTCATATACACTATACAAGGCCTCAGATTGTAAAACATCCATCAGAAGTGAATTGGATCCAACAAAATTGGATCTTGAACATTGTTTATACAGCATAAAGTATGCAAAAAACAAGAAAAATTCCGCTAAAAAACAAAACTTTCCTTCAAGAATGCAGTCTGCGGAGTTAATTTTTAACATTTAAATTACTTTTATTTTGTAGTTTTAACTAATATATATTGTAAGTAACCTAAATATGAATTGATGCACACAGTTATATTTGGATTCCAAAGTTCAACCTACACCGTTGGTGAGCCAGATGGTAAATTGCAAGTTTGTCTTGTTGTTAACAATTTTGATGGGAAACAATTTACAGGAACGTGAGTAAATTTCGTTGTTCTTGTTCTTGATCTTTATATTAATAACCACATCTGGGTAGCGGACGGAATTCTTTGTTGTTGAGACATCCAGGCACTATTGCCAATAAATTATATTATATACAATTTTTTCTCTCTTTTTCACTCCCATTACTGTAATTTCAAAGTGAATAGTCCTCTTTCTCAACATCTTTGATCTTTAGATGAAAAATATCAGTTTTGATGACAACAATGAATAAATCGATAAATCTGTACAACCAAGATATGCTGCTAATTTTTTGTCCATCGGTTTAATGTGTTTATCATAAATATTTTAAGATTAACATTCAGAAATGGCACTGCAACAAGCGGAGAAGATTACAAAGTTTTAGTAGGTCTTGAAAAAGATGTTGGAATTCAAAGTTTTATTCAAACAACTGATTGCGTTGATATTTCGATAATTGATGATAACAGTTATGAAGGCAACGAAAATTTTACAGTTGTTTTGATGTTAAATGACCCCAACGTTCAAATTACTATTGGCGAAGCGACAGTGACTATCACAGATAATGAAGGTAATGATTTGAGATATATTTTCTATATAAATTATTATAGTTACTGACATTTTTTTACTGTGCAACGCAAGTGCAGATAGCACAGCATTTCTTTATTTGTTTACTATTAATTCATGAAAATAAAGTCTCGTACATCGCCATTCGTCGGCACTATTTTTGTCCGTTCATATTGATGAGTGAAATGCTGTGTCTATTTAAAAAAAAAATATTTACTTAATTGATCACTCATAATGGATCGTAGAACATCGTCGATGAATCACGACATACTGTATAAGAACTAGGCCTAAGTCTTTAATTCTCATTATTTTCGTAATCTTTACTAAGGATAAACGTTCGAAACAATTGCTCCAGTCAGCAATGTCTCAAAATTTCTCAGGCTCCAAACAGGCTCCAAATTTTAAGGTACATTAAAACTTAAATTTATTGTTCTTGAAGAGAAAGTTTAAGTGAGATATCATTTTTATGTAGCCCTCTTATCTCCTCGATAAAAGCGAAAGCTAGTATGTTTTAAATTATATTCTTACCTTTGAAACTTCGATGCAGTTCCTACTACATTTCGATTCGAAAGTTCAACTTACACTGTTGGTGAGGAAGATGGTACCGTGAGGGTTATCTTTTTATTAGCAATTATCGAGAAAACTTTTTAAAAACGTGTTTAGGTTTCGCATTAATTTCTCTTGAAAATACACAAATATTCCAGGCTCCAAATTCTAATCTAGATTAAAACAAAAATTTAAACTGTTTGATGAGAAATCTGGGGCGGTAAAATTTTTCATATTCGCTAATAGAAAAACCAATTGCATTTACCAGTGAATATGATACGCGAAGATCATGCAAAACGACATGCTAAGTTAAAAATATTGGGCACTGTTTTTTTTCGCTTCCTTGACTTCAAGAAATAGCCAATTTGAAAGAGAAAATATACCGCATTCTCAACGAGAGACTTGAAGAAAACACCAAAGATTTAAAATGATTCTAATGCAGTCTAATGACTAAATGATAAGGACAAGAAAATCAATGTCTCTGCAGTCTGGTAATATCACACTTGTGTTAATTACTATGCCTTCGTTATCAACTCCCTTTTAATCGTTACTAGGAACGTAAAGTGTGCAAAACCAATTAGTATTTGTGGACAATTGAAAAATATTTCGACTTTATCTTTTTTAAATTATTATTTTCAGATTTCGACGAATGTGATGCAGGGTCTCATAATTGCCATCACAATGCCTATTGTAATAATACTTATGGCTCTTTCAATTGTACATGCAAAAATGGCTACTCAGGAAATGGGACAAGCTGTCAAGGTTAGACTTCAGTATAGTAAAATTCAAAAGTTAAAATTGCCCATCGTTCCACAGCTTTATATTTCGCAGAAAACATCAATGGCATTGTCTAGTCATCGCACACTTGTTAGAAATAAGATCCCTAGCTTTTAATTATTACTAGGCACACAGAGTGAAGAGAAGCTATATATTTGTACACAATAGAAATATATCTGAATTTTTTTTTCCGAATTATTATTTCCAGATTTCAACGAATGTGATGCAGGGAATCACAGTTGCCATCAGAATGCTCACTGTTACAATACTGATTTCTTTTAATTGTTCATGCAAAATTGGTTTCATTGGGAGGAACGGACTGTGAAGGTTAGGCCTGGGTATAGCAGAATTTTCCAATCGTTCCACAGCTTTAAACATCGAAGGAAACTTCAATAGCATTGTCTAGTCATCGCAATTTTATTACAAATTAAATATGATTGGTTTCAAAAGCTTTGTTATGAATATAACTAGGAACGTATGATGAACGAAGGCGATGTATATGTGAACAAAAAATAGAATTTTATTTTTTTGCTAAATTATTATTTCAAGATTTCGACGAATGTAAACAGGGAATCACAGTTGCCACCAGAATGCTCACTGTAACAATACTGATGGTTCTTTTAATTGTTCATGCAAAATTTTCATGGGAAATGGAACAGACTGTCAAGGTGAAGCTTGAGTATGACAGATATCTATCGTTGTCTAACTTGCATTCTAGTTTCACAGCTTTAAACTTCGCAAAAACATGTATGGCATTGTCTAATAATCTAGGCTTTGTTAGAAATATAATCACCATGATCGCCGTGCATTCGTTATCAAAAGAGTTTAGTTTTACAGGGACATAAAAAAAACAAAACGAATGTGTTTGTAAACAGTAAAAAAAAAATGATATCGTTTTTCCGACATTATCATTTTCAGATTTAAACGAATGTGATGGGGGACTCACAACTGCCATCAGAATGCTCACTGTAACGATATTGATGGTTCTTTAAATTGTTCATGCAAAATTGGTTTCATGGGAAATGGAACAGACTGTCAAGGTGAAGCTTGAGTATGACAGATATCTATCGATGTCTAACTTGCATTGTAGTTTCACAGCTTTAAACTTGGCAGGAAACATATATGGCATTGTCTAGTCATTTCAATTTTATTAGAAATATAATCCCATTATCGCCATGCATTCGTTATCAAAAGACTTTTAGTTTTTACAAGGACATAAAGAAAACAAAACGAATGTGTTTGTAAACAGTAGGAAAATATCAAAAATGATATCGTTTTCCCGACATTATCATTCTCAGATTTTAACGAATGTGATGCGGGGGACTCACAACTGCCATCAGAATGCTCTCTGTAACAATACTGATGGTTCTTTTAATTGTTCATGCAAAATTGGTTTCATGGGAAATGGAACAGACTGTCAAGGTGAAGCTTGAGTGTGACAGATTTCTAACTTGCATTGTAGTTTCACAGCTTTAAACTTCGCAGGAAACATATATGGCATTGTCTAGTCATCTCAGCTTTGTTGGAAATATAATCACCATGATCGCCATACATTCGTTATCAAAAGAGTCTTAGTTTTTACAAGAACATAAAGAAAACAAAACGAATGTGTTAGTAAACAGTAAAAGAATATCAAAAAGATATCGTTTTTCCGACATTATCATTTTCAGATTTAAACGAATGTGATTCGGGGACTCACAACTGCCATCAGAATGCTCACTGTAACAATACTGATAGTTCTTTTCATTGTTCATGCAAATTGGTTTCAGAGGAAATGGGACATATTGTCAAGGTTAGGTCCTGACAGAAATCTTTCTTATGCTCTTTTATCGACGGATTTTTAATTGTTAAGAATATACTTTTTTGTTAAATTTCTTTCAAGATTTTGACGAATGTGATGTAGGTTCTCACAATTGCCATCGTAACGCTTACTGCAATAATACTGACGGTTCTTTCAATTGTTCATGCAAAAATGGTTTCAGGGGAAATGGAACAGGCTGTCAAGGTTAGGTTTGAATATAGTATAATACAACAGTCCAACTTTGATGACATTAACTTGTTTTTTTATGTGTTTATAGTTTTCTATTGATCTGTCTGTTTTGTATTTGCCTATTAATTTTTGTATGTAGTTTCGCAGTACTGCCTGTACATGCCCCTCATGAAAAACAACACTGCTAACTTATAAATTCAAAGCAGCACTTCACTTGCGATAGTAACCGCTAGTTTTATATGTTTACTTATTTAACACACAGACTAGTAAATGCCATTATATGCAATGGCTTTTGTAAAAAAATTAAATGATAACAAAATATTTTTGCACTATTTTTTCAATTAATTCTAAAGCTTAGAGCTATATGAAGCAAAGTGGTGCAGGTTTTTATAGTTGCCATTACAAAAATGCTATACATGCAAAAAATGTTGCTGAATTATCTAAATTTGTTGACTTCGTATTGGCACTGGTTTTGTTAAATAATGATATTGTGGTGAGTCATGCACTATTACAAACTTTAGCCTTTATTTCCTTTTAATGATTAAGATATCAACGAATGTAATACTGGGACACACAAATGCCATCAAAATGGCTACTGTAACAATACTGATGGTTCTTTTAATTGTTCATGCAAAAATGGATTCAAAGGAAATGGAACAGACTGTCAAGGTTTGTCGTAAATATTTAATAAATTATGGCAATAGAATTTATATTAATTTCCTATCGAAAAAATATATGTTATCTTAAGAATTTTTTTCTTACGTAAAGAAAATTTTTCTTAAACAGAGGATATAAAATCTCGTTTAAAAAGTAATTTCTTATAATAAGAAATTAGTTACCCCACAGAATTGCAGATTTTAGCAGAAGAAATTATATATACCACTTATTAACCAAAGGGATTTATTTTATGGCATACAGTATTTAATAGTTTATTTATTTATACAATGCGCTGCAGCATTCTTGCCGGCTCTTTCGCCAGCCAGTCGCAAAGCAACACTGAAGTAGCTTCAAAAACTTTGTTTCTAGTCATTAAATAAGAATGATGCAGTAATATAAAAAAAGTCAAAGATGAATAAATATAATATTCACATGTACCAAATAATACTCTTCTTCGTCCATTCTCCGTCGATATTGTTCGTGTCAAAAATAAAGGTGCAAGCTTGTTTTTTTTTTCAAAAATATGAGAGTTGGACCGTTACTACGGCAACGGTCTAATACTGGGGATTCCAGATTGGCAAAGAACTAATCAGCGCACGCCACATTAGTCACGAGGCCGCGCGCCATATAACAAATTCTTATTAGTGGAAATTTTTTTCTTAAGCTAAGAAAATAATTTCTGGATATAAGAAAGATTATCTTATCTTATGAAATTCTCAATATGAGAAAAAAATTATTAATCTTCAGCAATATTCCAAATATTTCTTAAAATAGGAAAGCTTGTTTTAGCTGATCCTCGTTTCAAGAAAATAATTTCTTAAAATAGAAGATTATTTCGAAAACTAGAGCTAAATGGGGTATAGTAAAAAAATACTATGGAGTAGAATTTTTATTATTTACAATGAACGAATGTCCGCCTCCCTTCATAAATTATATCAAATAAACAAGTTTTGCAATATAGAAGCTCTTAGAAACAAATTTCATCATGAGAGAAATTCAACTCATTTTTCCTTTCCATAGGTGCGGTTGGTTATTGCACTAAAAGCACCAACTTCATTATCCATGTACAATGATATTTGATATACTAAAAGTAAGATTTAGAATGGAAAAGTCAAAGATTCATATTTTGAATTTTGATTACCATGGAAAGGCGCATTGATTGCAACATAACGTCATGTGCGCGACATATCGCAGGTTATCGCGCAGGTTTAATGAAAGAACGCTAAAAGCATTGTGGGTAAGAAGCGCGTCCTTTTTAAATTTTCTAGGCTCTTGTGTAACAGCCTCGTGCTCTCGTCCCTGGCGCTTTAGATAAAATCAATATGGGAACACTACAGGCTTTTATATAGATCAGTGGAGGTTCCGCAAAGATCAGCAGAGTTTTGAGGAGGACGCGGGGAAGATGAAGAAAGCTCCATTTTTCCGTCGCGTCCTCTCAAAAATTCCTTGCGCACTCGGTCAGCTTAGCTGCTGATCAATGTAAAAGCCTGTAGTGTTCTTATATTTATTTTATTTAAAGCGCCTGGGAACGAGGCTGGTTGTGTAACGCGTCTTCACTTATCGTTGAATTTTTATTGATTTTTTTCAATTCGTACGTTATAATATGGATCAAGAAACGACAAATATGCTCGAACAAATCGCTATAGTGTGGTCAAAGAATGCGGGCAGATGTTGGAAGGTAAGAATTTTGTATTGATTGAGTAATCTCATCTAAACATGAATTTTCCGTCAAATATTGTACTCTATTGCTCAAATATTGTACTCTATTGCTTTCTGTAATTTTCCTAATTGATCAATGATCTCATGATCATGTCATAACAAACTATATTAATTTTCGAAGGAGTTACAATGAACTCTATATACATAATTATAAAGACAAATTTCCATTTGATCCTGATCAGCCCTTTGTAGAAAGACTTAAGGGACTCAAGTGACCGACTGCGAAGAAAATACCTTTGTCTCGTTCAGCTTTACAAGATCATGTTTGGGCTTTGTGACATTGACAAATTTAAATATCTGGATATTGTGGGTGAGTCTAGTACTAGATCTAACCATAATTTTAAGTTAAAACGTTAACATGCACTTACTAATTACTTTAAGTTCTCGTTTTTTAACCGTTATATCTTGGACTGGAACTTTTTACCACCGGAATTAAGTTGTGGAAGCTACTTCGCTGTCTACTGTAGTTTTAAACATAAACTACTGTTGTTTCTTCTCAAAATCAGTATTCACTTCAGTTTAGTTTCAAGAAAAGCAGTTTATAAATAGGAATTTCGTTTTCTCCTACTGTTACCCCCCTATTACTATTTCTTTGTTAATAGATAGTGGGAAAGATTTATTAAATCATTAAATAATAGCTTCATTCCGCAAACACGATATGTGGTTAATTAAGTTTTGCAAATCCCGCTTAGCCGAGATTAAACCAAGCTTGAGATGACTTTGGGTAATGAAATGAGAAATAACATGATTCTGGCAGTAATGTAGTCATCCTAACAATAGCATGTGCTTGTATGGTTTCCTGAAGACTTATTTCAATACCTCAAAGTCACTCTTCGTTAAATGACGGCTAGCTCCTTAGATCCATTGAATTATTTTCCGACAGACAAATAATTGTAAATAATTATTTTAGCCGTTTTACAGTGGGTAGAACGGCTAAAACATGTTTCCCAAGGAGCAAATCTTTGACGCTGTCTTTTGCTCGCGTTTAACAATCGGTGCGCGTTTCGACTTTCGAAAATTATTTAGTTTTAGAAGAACGGAGCGAACGCAATCTCGAACGCAATCGTCAATAAATTCGGTCAAGACCAGACGCCCACAAATTTTAACGTTATACAAATTAAAAATATTTACTCTTGATTGACAGTGGATTAGTCTAGTAGCTAATCATAAAATTCCCGTCCACCAGTGGACGGGGTTTCAAAAAAACATAGCCAAATCAGGCAGGCGGTCTTCCGCCGTCCTTGCCTTGCCCGAATTTAGGGACCGCCGGCCGTGTATTTCATAAAAAGAAATACATGCATGCAGCAACCCCTCGCCATTTTAAACGAAGCAAAATATTTCGTGCGCTACCCAGACCTAACTTTCTACGCTAATCCCCGAGCCGGCGCGAAGCGCCGTGCGAGGGTACTAATTCCGCTGGGAGATTTATTACACCCGGGTATTGTGACAGAACATAACGGAATTTAAAGTTGCTCAAATTCTATGTCGTGGACCGTGGACCGTGGACCGTGGACGTTCAATGGTCATGGTACTTGTGCGCATGCGCGGAATGCGAACGCGTGTAGACTGGTAATCAACGAACGTTCTGATTGGCTAAGACAGAAAGTTTGTATTTCAATGAGAACGTCAGCAATTTAACTGTCATTTCGTAAACATTTTTGTAAAAGCGTTTCATAAACTTTGTGCAAGGAAAGTAAAACGAGAAGAAACAAGATATATGAAGCATGACAGATAGCAAAGATGAACGTGGATACAGTAAAAAAAAGCAGTGTAAGAGGAATAATTCATAATCTGCAAGCTTATAAATGTTTTCAAAGACAAAGGGTACGTGTTTACTTTGTTTATTTCGTATTTGTTTCGCGGTAAGAATGAGCCGTATTTGTATACTTTTCAGCTTTGTATGCCGTTTATTTGTTAAATTTTCAGCTTTTTATGCAAACACATAAACCTGTGAAAGGCTCTTACACCTTTGCTTTAACTTCAAAAAGTGTTTTTCAAAGTGTAATTTGAATTTTGGTATAAAAAATACACACTATATTTATAAAGTATACTGAAACTTTTAGCCGTCGGCGTCGACTGCAATTACAGAGTAAAATAACATTTGCAGTTTTTTCTTTGTCTTTGAAGATTTTGTAGTGTTTTAATCGTTTGAAACTTCGATTTTAAACCGTTAGTTAATTGCTGGCAAGGTATAATGCTGCAAAATTAAACGGGCAATATTTACACTAGCTTTATGATTATTTTTGTATTGAATGATGGAAACATTAGCTATAATATACTTGGTATATAAAATATAATAAGACTGATTTGAGTTTTGTGTCGTTTAATAATATAAGTTTAGGTCAGGTTAATTCAGGAAATTGTGTACTTGGTTTGAAATAGCGAGGGGTTACTGCATGCATGTATTTCTAGTATTATGAAATAACTCGTGCAAATTTTTCGGAAACAGAGACAGTCGTAAAGGTGAACAGAAATCACCTGTTTGCCATTATTTATTTTATTCAATGATTTTAGCGACTATATAAGCTGCAAAGTGATATCTGTTTTATCAAAACTCTGAAGTACACTTTTGAGAACAAAATATTTACGAAGGAAATAAGAAATTTATGTAATGTGATTTTATAAATAGACTACTAAGGCAAGGTGTACCCCCAAGGGGATACGCCTTGCCGACGATAATTAAAAATCTTATATTATGGGCTTTGCGTCCAATCTAAAAGACCGACAGGTAATGGATGGCACGCAATATGGGAAAGGTGGTGAATGGCCAGCAGCAAATCGAAAACTAACAAAGACCGAATACCCAAACCACAAACGGTCAGTTTAAGCGTGACATCGCAAAAGACAGAGCTCCTTTAAAGTTGAAAGGTATTTACAGAAGTGTTATATTTGTTTTTCTATATATATATTTATATATTAATATAGCATATACATATAGTAGCTACGAATACACAATGGTACCCCCAAAAGTTTTGGTCCTGGGACACTCATTTGTTCGTCGCCTACAGTGCGACCTGAAACGTAAGCGGGATATTCGCATGTGCCCGACCTTTAAACTCAAGGGCACAGCGAGAGTTTATCTACACGGTATAGGGGGTAGAACAGTGGAGAAGATCCGCAAATTTGATTTAGGGGTAGTTTCACGGTGTGCCCCAGATATTGTTATTCTGGAGATAGGCACGAACGATTTGTCCGCTTTAAGGCCCGAAACAGTTGGTTCACGCATTGACGACTTGGTTGCTTTATTGCTAGATCAATATCGCGTAAAATTGGTATGCGTATGCCTGATTTCCCCGCGAAAGAACAACCCTCTTTTTGAAAAGCAGCGTTTAATGCTAAATAATTACCTACAGGTAGTTTTAGAGAAGGTCCCGAGAGTGTTTTTATGGACACACCATGGCTTTATACGACCTTCCGTGACGCCATTTCTACCTGACGGGGTACATTTTAATAGAATCGGGCAATATAAATTATACCGAAGTTATCGGGGGGCAATTCTTCAAGCAATTAAAATGTTATAAAATTCTTTCTCTATATATATATAACAAGCTGCATGTCGTACGTGACATTTACTTTTCTATAACCTTGAAATTTGACAAACTTTACTCGTGATTACTTCTTATGAAGCGCCTTTATCTATTCTATCTTTATCTCTTATCTATATGAGAGTTCTCACACTGTTTGTGATTTTTGTTGGCCATATGATGAACGGTGCGGCGATCTTCGATCTGCCATGTTCATCCTGCTGACGTTTGATTTGTCTTTATCTCTCATCTATATGAGAGTTCTCACACTTTTTGTGAGTTTTTTGTTGGCCATAGGGTGAATGGTGCGGCGATCTTTGGATCTGCCATGTTCATCCTGCTGACGTTTGATTTTATCTCTCTCTATATGAGAGTTCTCACACTTTTTGTGAGTTTTGTTGGCCATAGGGTGAACGGTGCGGCGATCTTCGGATCTGCCATGTTCATCCTGCTGACGTTTTATAATCATTCTTTCACACATTCCAATTTCAATTACGACAAATAACGGACGAATCCTCACTATTGAATGTTCGCCATTACGGGGGATAGTTTTATTTCTCGCACAACGACAAAATTTGGGTGCGGTTGCTTTACTATCTAAAAACTCATTACGCCATAAGTATCTATTTCTGCTTTTAAAGTTTTATTTTTAGAATGCCACCCGTACGTCGTTCTAAGCGTGTCGCCGCTCCATCAGCCGTTTTGCGAGAGTCTGTTCAGAACCAACCAACAACATCTCGTCGAACTCGAAGTTCTCCCAATGCGTATCTGTTGGCCACCCCCGTCAACGTCAACTGTGCCCGTGAGTGATGTGGCTTTGCCCTCTCTTTCGAGTGAGCTTATCTCAACACTGGTGTCTTCGGTTACCGAGGCAGTCACGCAAAAGTTAGCTGGCTTCTTACCAACCTCTGCGTCTTCAACATCCACAATGGCGTCTGCCCCAACGGATTCTACCTCCGGAATCGAAATCTCAAACCAGGGTCCCAATGCAGATTCTCTGGTCAACGACGCGCTCACGTCCATACAAGAAAACCTTACAGGTCAGACCACTCCTTTTTCTCTTCAATGTTCAAGTGCCCGGGTCCACGGGAATCGTTCCACTCTGCCGCTTTGCCTCTTGATTCGCGGATTCCGGATAAAATAAAGCTTAAAATATGGAATGAGGAGTTTGTCGATATAAGTACTTTGTCAGGTGGCCCAGACGCGGCCGCCTAAATACGAGATTAGTGTACGTACCTCTGACAACGGTCAACCTGCTTCTCTTCTCTTGAGCCGACTGCGAAATCCAAAAGGGTCAAAACTATTAGCGATTGGCTTCGTTCGTTTCATATTTTTGTTTCCATTTATACACAACGGTACCCCATGAGTCCCCCGCGCTCATGAAATATTGTCAAATCATCCAGGATTTGGCCAATAGGGGTCATAATTGGTTTTACTACGATGAGAATTTTCGATTTTTGCGCCAAACACAGGCCACGCGCGTTCCCTGGGCGACTGTTCACTGGGAGTTATGGTTGAAATGTCAATATCCCACTACTTCTAAGCCGAACACGCAAGGCAGCAATCATACGCGCCACCCTTCAAAAGTGTCTGTTCCTCGGGGATATTGTTTTAAGTTTCATCGCGGAACGTTTTGTGCCGGTTGTGATTTCAAGCACATTTGTTTTAAATGCAACGGATCGCACCGTGCCGTGAATTGTAATTTTCGTGCCAACAACAGACCATCTCCCACTGATCGATCGCCTAGGCCTATTTCAACAACGTCCGTTGCCAACACCCGTAAAACTTCATAATTTACAAATATTGTTAGAAGGTTATAATCCAAGTATTGTTGATACACTAATTTCCGGATTTACTTCGGGTTTTCGCATTCATTTCTCTGGCACAGAACAGTCGTTTGAAGCAATAAATTTACGGTCTGCTCTTGACAAACCAGAAGCGGTTGACCAAAAATTAACGAAAGAGTTAGAGGCATCTCGCCTTGCTGGGCCATTTAATTATCCGCCCTTTCCAAATTTTCGTGTTTCGCCTTTGGGCCTGGTTCCTAAAAAACAACCGGGTGATTTTCGCATGATTCATCATTTATCGTTTCCAAAGGGAGCATCGGTTAATGATGGTATACCCGATTTCGAAACATCTGTGCGGTACGCTATCGTTGACGACGCTATTCAACTTATTAAAAAAGCGGGCCGGGGTTGTTTCCTGGCGAAAACAGATATAAAAAATGCTTTTCGAATCATTCCTATCAGCCCAGCGGATTATCACCTCTTAGGCATAAAATGGCGGAGTTTGTATTATTACGACCGGGCAATGCCAATGGGTTGCTCCAGTTCGTGTCGCACTTTTGAGATTTTTAGTACGGCTATCGAATGGATCGCTAGGGAAAGGCTTAACATCGGCAAACTCCTTCATTTGCTCGACGACTTCCTGTTTGTTGCACCGGATTATTCTGCTTGTAAAACAAACTTACAAGTATTCATTGCTCTTTGTGATTTCATTGGCGTGCCTATAGCACCGGGAAAAACCATGGGTCCCTCAACAACCTTAACGTTCGCTGGGATTGAATTAGATACAATACAATTCCAGGCCCGATTGCCGATGGATAAAATCGAGAAATGTGTTCAATCTATCGCACGCTTTTTAATTCGTAAAAAGGTTACACTCAAAGAACTTCAGTCCTTAATTGGATTACTTAATTTCGCATGTTCCGTCATTATGCCAGGTCGCGCATTCCTGCGACGCTTAATTGATCTAACGCGTGGCATTTCACACCCTCATTTCTTTATTCGCTTAACGCAAAGTGTGAAACATGATCTTCGTGTCTGGCAAACGTTTCTGTCGAATTTCAACGGCAAATCATTCTTTTTGCACAACCATTGGCGTAATAACTCCCATTTGAATTTATATACTGACGCTTCGGGTAGTATTGGTTTTGGGGCCCTGTTTGGTTGCGACTGGTGCTATGGCGCATGGCCAACTGACTGGCGGAGTTACAATATTGCCGTTCTAGAGCTATATCCGATTGTCCTCAGCCTGTGTTTATGGGGATCAAAAATGCGCAATCATTGTATCTTGTTTCTCACGGATAATGAAGCTTTGGTGTCTGTTATTAATAAGCAAACATCAAAGGATTCTTATATCATGACACTCGTTCGCCGGATGGTTTTGGTTTGTTTAGAAAACAATATTTTATTCAAAGCAAAGCATATACCAGGTAAACAAAATGTCCTAGCTGATTGTTTGTCTCGTTTACAGCTCCAAAAATTTTCACAATTGGCGCCGGCCGACATGCATCGAGCTCCAACGCCTATTCCCTTTCACCTGCTGCCGGAAAATTGGCGACTATAGTTTCTCAATTAGCTCAAAGTAGCTTGCAACCTTCTTCAGTGCCGACTTATAAGCGGGCATGGGCACTTTTTGCGCAATTTCGTGTGGCAATTTTTAATGAGGGATCGTTCACTTTGCCTTTGTCGCCCTCAGTCGTCGCGTTATTCATAGCGTACTTATTTGACCTCAAGTACGCCTCTTCAACAGTTAATACTTATGTATCTGCACTGGGTTATACTCATCGCATGTCCGATCTACCGGATCCAACGAGAGTTTTCTACGTAACGCAAATATTGAAGGGGTATGGTAAGAAAGGCTTCCGCTTAGATAGTAGGTTGCCTGTAACTTTACCAATTCTCAATCGTCTTATTGAGGCTGCGCCTCATATTGCTGGGTCACCGTACCAAATATGTCAATTCCGGGCAATGTGCTCTTTAGCATTTTTCGCGTTCCTGAGAATTGGAGAAATAACTAAGAAGTCAAATAGCCAACCCCTTCAATTGCGACAACTCTCCAAACTATCTTCCGATGATGGCCGGGTTGCAGGCATAAGGTTGACTTTCGAGGATTTCAAGCACAATTATAACAGTAGAACTTTTAGTTTGGAAATTCACAGGCAAACGGCATGCTGTCCTGTTCGCTTATTAGAGGAGTACATGATTTTGCGAGGCGCCCAGCCCGGAGCTATTTTTCTATCACAACTGGGCATTCCAGTCTCATGTGACGAGTTTGCCAATCTTCTTAAAAAGGCTTTCCGCTTCTGTGGACTCGATACTTCCAAATATAAGTCTCATTCATTTCGAATAGGCGCCGCCTCCCACGCAGCTGAACACGGGCACTCGGATGCCCAAATTCGAACTATGGGGCGTTGGAAATCGAACGCATTCCTCAAATATATACGTTTTTCTTCCCTATCAACATAGTTTGGATGAATTTTCGAGCGGAAAACCTGCGGGGAGTTTTCTGCTCGAATTGCGCGGCTATTTTATTTCTTCCTCAGCTTGCACATGGTCAGCAAGGGCGATCGTTTGCATTCTGGGGGAGGAAATAAAGTGCTTATAACAGGGTGATGGAGAAGCTTCTTCTTGGCGCGGTAATGTTGTGACTCTGCTAAACTAATATCAGTTAAGTGTAGATTATCAGCAAGGGCGATAATCTATGCATTTTCACGGGCTTTGTAAATGCCTTTTTGCCCATGTTCGTTATCAGGTCGCGCAGACCGCTGATCCTGTATTATTGTATTACGAAACTTTCTGCATGCATCCATTTCCTTGGGGTGGGGTCAACTTGCTTTGCTTCGTTGTTTTGGCGGTAATTTGCCTCCACCCTTTTCTGAGCGTAAATATTTGGAATTTTAATGCAATGTATTAATAAATATCGTTTTGTTTAACAGAAATAAAGCGGCTAGGAGAACCATTACTCCTAGCCAAAATTATCCCAAAACGGCGTAAAATTTAATGTGTCTTTATTATGCTCAGAAAACTGAGCTGCGGAAAGGGTATGCAAAATTCATGGCTGGCAATATATCTATATGCGTAAATAAATCACATTACATAAAACTCTTTTTAAAGTTTAAGCGATGATGTAAAGTCTTAAACGGTCGGTTAGCTCCTTGTAAAACGACATACCAAGCTCGTACTTGTCAAAAAAACAATGCATTCTTACAGCAAACACTGAATAGGCAAAATATAGACACCTACCACTTCAAATATTATAAACTACGAGTCGTTCCTATTTCACCAACTGTTTCTGTGCTGTGATGATCTTGAAACCTTTCATTATTGTTTTAATATTTGACTCCATGATTTTTAAAAAATAGTTAAAAATGCTGACGCTATCATTCATCACAGAGGAGAGATGGAGAGTCGACTCGCAGCTCCACGCGTCCCCACTTTTTTACTCGCGCGCGCTAGTAAGCGTTTACACCCGATTCCCTTCTGGTAAGCTTCGAGCACATTTTTAATAAGGAAAAATGGAATGTTTGCCAGTAAAAATGCAATTTAAAAAAATTTAACCGCTTTGGCTAAAATGTTCCAAACGTTTTTTGTAGTGTAAGGTAAGAGCTAAAATATATTTTCTTTATAGAAAGCCCAGGGATGATATGCTGGGTGAAAATTTGATCAAAAAAGTTTGAAAAATGACTGAAAAAGTGTGTAATCGAACAGCAACTCTGCTTGAGAAGTAAAGATACATAATTATGAATGTTTTCAGTGAATGTTTGTATCATCAAATGGTACTAATTATTAAAAAACTGATATCCTCTGCGAGTTAAAGTTATATAACGCCTAAAACTCTGTTTTGTCGTTATGTATTTTGTCGACATTTTAAAATTCAAACGCGAATTTCGAAGTTTTCTTTGAAATTCGTCCTATATTGTTATACTACAAATATGCAAACGCTCTGCTGCTAGTTGACAAACAGTAAAAAAGCAGCTATGACAACGATTCACTTTGGCAAACACAATTTGACAATTCGGGTAAAAATATGGCAGCCGACAAGGGTAATCAGAACTCACTTACAAAACAAGGATTTTGATATTGCTTTTAAAAACAGCACGATCATTTAAACCCAACAAAACAAACAACTCACCGTTCATCTCCAAAATTTTAGTCCAAAAATGAAGATAATCCGACCCAGTTAAAAAAAATCAATTTTTCACCTATCGAACAGCGCTTTTTCTATACTTTAGTATTCAAATTTGGCCGAAAGAGCTTACCAGAAGAGAATCGGGTGGTTGCGTGGCGCGTGGAAATGACGTGAGAATGACGTGATATTAGGCAAAACTCGGGGACACTCGTTCCAACATTAAATCGGAAGAGTCGACTCTCTGTCCATCTCTCCTCTGTGCATGCATGCTCTCTTTTTGTCTTAGCCAATCAGCAAGTCGTAGACTACCGTTATTTCTTCGTTCAAATTTCAAGCATGCGCACAACTACCATGACCATTGAACGTCCATGACATTTTGGCAACTTTGGATTCCGCTATGTTCTCCCGGGTCCCGGGTGTAATTCCTAATCTCCGGGCGGAATTAGTACCCTCGCACGATTTCAAAATAAAAACCTGAAATTCCAAAGAAGTCACATGGCAATGTGCAAAAGTGTGGCTTCATTGACCTATTAAATCTTATTTATAGTACATCTAAATTAGGAATCCTCTTATTATTAGACCCAAATCTGTATGTTTATTGCTTTTCCAAGCAGTTGTACAACGCTATCCAACTTTCGTAAAGATGCAAACTCTCCCCCCTGATGCATGTATATTACGCTGACATTGAGCAGCGTATTCATTTTGAAATTCGTAATTCTTACTTCCTTACATACATTCTGTTGCCCCGTTCATCCATGGGTAGCCCGATAAAGATTTGAAATAGTAGAATTTGCTCCAGTCGCGCTATTATTGCTCTTGCCTCGCGACCACTATGACGTCACAGAACTCACAGCGAAATTGGAGTGAAGCGCAACTGAGGCAAATTTGACTAATTTAAATATTTACTGGAATTCCTATGGTCCATCGCTTGCGAATACATTACATTCAATGGTTATTTCTGTACTTCTGCTCGACAAATAAAAGTTTAAAATATAACCAACATCCCTTAGATGCAGTTGTGGCAGTCGATATATTTGCATCTCTTTGTATGTGTTCTGGAAATTGTGTCATCAACAGGACAAGGTAAGAATTAAACAATACTTACACCTGTTTACACTAGCTAAACGGGATTAGCATGACAATGAGCCCTCGGCATCAAAAATTGCTATGTCAAAGGAAATTTTACCCCCCAAAGTATTGTAGCCTGATCCAACCAAGCGTGGAATGACACGCATTCATCCGACCCTGATCTGAAAGGCCTATTCACACGATCCAATTTTTTGGCATCCTATCCACTTTTGACGTATGAAATATAGTCGGTTGTTAATAAAGCAGTACTTCATTGGCTTCAGTGAGTTTGCTGCTCATATACACTACAAGGCCTCAGACTATAAAACATCTATCAGAAATGAATTGGATCACACAAAATTGGATCTTTAACATAGTTTATACAACATAAAGTACGGTATGCAAAAAAACAAGCAAAATTCCGCTATAAAACAAAACTTTTCTTCAAGAATGCAGTCTGCGGAGTCAATTTTAAACATTTAAATGACTTTTATTTTGTAGTTTTAACTAATATATATTGTAAGTAACTTAATTATAAATTTTATGCATGTAGTTACATTTGGGTTCCTAAGTTCAACCTACACCGTTGGTGAGGCAGATGGTAAATTGCGAGTTTGTCTTGGTGTTGACAATTTGATGGAAGAGTTTTTTAGGAAGTGAGTATTTCGTTGTTCTTTTTTATATTAGTAAGCACATCCGGTAGCGGACGGAATCTTTGTTATTGAATCATCCATGCAATATTGTTAAAAATTATATACAATTGATTTCTTTCTTTTTCACTCTCGTACTGTAATTTCAAAGTGAATAGTCCTCTTTCTCAACATCTTTGATCTTTAGATGAAAATATCAGTTTTGATTACAATAATTAATAAATCGCTAAATCTGTACAACCAAGATATGCTGCTAATTTTGTGTCTATCGGTTTAATGTGTTTATCATAAATATTTTTGATTAACATTCAGAAATGCACTGCAACAAGGAGAAGATTACTCAGATGATGAGAAATTTGTTGGAATACTAAGTTTTATTCAAAAAACATTGCGTTGATATTTTGATAATTGATGATAACAGTTATGAAGGCAACGAAAATTTTACAGTTGTTTTGACGTTAAATAACAATCCCAACGTTCAAATTATACTGTTGGGAAGCGACAGTGACTATCACAGATGATGACGGTAATGATTTGAGATGTATTTTCTATTTATTAAAGCTACTGACATTTTTTAGTGTGCAACACAAGTGCAGATAGCACAGCATTTCTTTATTTGTTCACTATTGATTCATAAAATTCACATCGCCATTCGTCGGCACTGTTTTTGTCGGTGGTTATTGATGCGTAAAATGCTTTGTCTATCTTAAAAAAATATTTCTTCATTGGTCACTTAATGGGTCGTAGACATCGCCGACAAAAAGAATTATTGCAATTGAATCTATATCTAATTTCCTTGGCCCTACAGTGAAAGAAAATTAAGATTTGCATCAGAATACTTATTATATGTGGAATGAATTTTGTTTAATATAGTATAACCAAAGGCGATGTATGTATTTGCCTACTTCATTATTGGCGAGTGCGTACAATTTTTTCTTAAATGTTAATACAGATCAATTTGAAAACGATATGCTTTAATGTACAAAAACATGTCGATGCATCAAACATAGTTATTACCGTTCAGTTTCTTTGTAATTTGTTATAATTTACAGAAGTTAGATATTCTTTCCGAAAGATTTGAGAATGTCCTGAGTGTAAAAATATGCGGATTATGTTTGAATCTCACTCCAACATTTCGACTCCATCTTCAAAGAAGATATAAACAAATTGCCGCTAAAATGACATACGACAATTTTTCACGTGTGAAGAATATCGTACGTCCAATCAAAAGCTGTGTATGTTATTTTTTACACGAGGTTTTTTTTATGGCAATAGCAAAATATGGGAAAATTGAAGGAAATATAAATACTACAGTTATAAATTAATAAATTCTTATGGAACATTGTTTTGTTAAATATTTTTTAGATTTCGACGAGTGTAGTGCAGGTTCCCATAATTGCCATCAGAACGCCTACTGTAACAATACTGATGGTTCTTTCAATTGTACATGCAAAAATGGCTACTCGGGGAATGGAACGGACTACCAAGGTATGACTCGATCCATAAAATTATTTTCTGATTGTGTAAACATACTCGGAAATGATGAGACGGAACGTTTTTTTAACGACGGAGACTTGCAAAGAGTTCGAGTTTCGACGAAATTTGAATTAAATAATAAATTTTTCTTATATACATTCTTTCGGTAATAAACTATTACAGATGACGATGAATGTAATTCGGGGTTCACAATTACCATGAAAATGCCAACTGTAAAAATACTGATGGCTCTTTCAATTGTTCATGCAAAAGCGGCTACTCAGGGGATGGAATTGACTGTGAAGGTTGGCCGTAATTCAAAGAAATCTCAAGACAAGTCAGTTCGTGAACACCTGGATTTAGCTGAGGTGAATTCATGGAAAAGTAATGCTAACGAAGTGTAATAGAAGACGTATATAGTATTCCTTAAACAGTGAAACTACGAATTGTCGCCGTAGAAATATATCAGTGCTACGGTGAATATCAGTGCAATGTCTCTTAATTTCCCAAATTAAACTTAATCAAGTGTTTTACCTCCGAAGTGTTGGACGATAGCTTCGAAGATGAATCATTATCTTCAGTCTTCTCTTTTCTTTCTATTGTATTTACTCTCATGTTTGTTTCATATGGTTTGTTTCAAAGTAAATTTTATTTCAAGCATTTGAAATTAATTCAAATACTTGATTACTCTTGCTGATCGGATCACATGGTAAATCATCCTTATTTCGTAATATAACCAACCTAGGTTGTCACTTGTTTCGAATTCTGTCTCAACTCGATCTGTTGAAAACTTGTCACACTTCCTCACGAGCTAAACAAATGCATTGCATTCTCACGAGCTAAACAAAATTAATGCATTGCATTCTCACGAGCTAAACAAATGCATTGCATTCTCACGAGCTAGACAAATCCGATAGTAATCTGGTATATAAACGGGTAAACAGGACCGAAATGTTTGGCATTCACATTTTCCAGAACATTGCAGGAATCATACTGTCCCAACAAAGAACACACACCCGACTTGATGCTTCAAAGTTGCCTGCCAACGCCCCTTGAGAACAAAGATAGCTTCTTATTGTTTTTAATTGGATGGAAATTAGAACTATTTGCATGCTTAAAACAAAAAGTTCAAAAGAAAGAATTTAAGGCTAGTTCCTAGTTGTTACATAAGTAGAAGAGTTATATGCATACGCCTTATAAAGTGTCTAATTCAAAACAAGGAGATTTAGAATGCATCCATTGTTATGCCCACATTCCAACTCTGGGGTGTTCATAATGATAAAAATCTGCAATTTTTATTCCTTCGAATTCTAATCCGACATTATCTGCTCGTTCTACAAGATCCGAGTCTTCTCCACCCCACCGTGTGGTAAACTTCACCTCATCAAATCCATCAATTGCAAAAGTCTTCCAATCTGTCTTGTATGCACTAAACATTCCGTATCCCCAGGGATCCCAAGCTCCATGCAAGTATCGCGGTGAAGCACCACATGATAGCCTTGCTAGGATGACGGTGAAAACCATTTTACCTTTAATGCAATGCTGAAGTAAATTAGTTGTGTCAGATTGGGTAAACACTGAACATTAAACATTATTTTATTAGGTGGCTATCACAAACCACTATTTTTAGTTTGATACAAAGGCTCGTACGGATAAGCCATGCAATAGTTTCTAGAAGCGTTGGTATGAACAAAAAGTCACCGTAGCAACGGTAGCATAGCTAATTTTAAGATCACTGCACATATCTTCATAATAGTATAGTGGAGAGAGGCGTGACAAAAATGGTCCTAACTGAAAATTGGTAATTTAAGGTCTGCAGGACCTCTTGCAGAAAATTGTGTGTATTTTTGAGTTCCTATGACTTGATTTCCAGCATTTTGGGGGATAACTACTTTTGAATCCACCTACGCAGAGTGAGGTTTGTTGAGAAAATACCATTTATCACTGCACATTTCTCATTTTATCTCTGCACATCGACTTTTATCACTGCACAATATGGTTATCACAGCACACTAAAATTAGGTATGATTGTCGGACACACAAGAATCGATCTTTCACTGTAAAGACAGCGGGAGAGTGCAGAGTGTCTAAAGCCCCATTTACACTACACTCGATTTATTGGCACGGCACGACTAAAATGGGTACCCGTGCTCACTTCATCCGTGCCCGGCCATTGTTTTGGTACCCTGAGCACTAGTAAAATTGGGCACGGGTACCCATTTTAGCCGTGCCGTGCCAATAAATCGAGTGTAGTGTAAAGCCCCGTTTACACTACAATGAATTTATCAGCACGGCACGGCTAAAATGGGCACCCGTACCCAATTTTATCAGTGTTCAGGCTACCAAAATAAAGGCCGAGTACAGATGAAATGGGTATCGGTACCCATTTTAGCCGTGCCGTGCCAATAAATCGAGTGTAGTGTAAAGCCCCGTTTACACTACAATGAATTTATCAGCACGGCACGGCTAACATGGGTACCCGTACCCAATTTTATCAGTGTTCAGGCTACCAAAACAAAGGCCGAGTACAGATGAAATGGGTATCGGTACCCATTTTAGCCGTGCCGTGCCAATAAACTGAGTGTAGTGTAAACGGGGCTTAAATGGGGCTTAAGACTAAGTTCATTGTAGGACCGATCCTTATATAAGGCGATGTTACACAGTGCAGTTTTTCTTACAACTTGTAATGCAATTCTACTTTTAAGAGATGTAAATTAGTGACGATTTTTGAAAATGCAAGTGTAAGATACGCCATGGAGTGTAATAAAGCCATCTCTTAAAAGAAGAAGCATTGCAGGTTACAGGAAAAATCGCACCGTTTTGCAGGGTCTTTAATTTATTTTAAACCTCAAACTCACATCCCTCTCATCGGCCGTGGTAAGACTAAGCCAGTCTTATTTACCAGCCTGAATCTATCTCAAAATCTAAAATAGCCTAAAAGCACGGAAATGGCAGTTGGATACAACTAAACTATACCCTCACTTATTTTCTATAATTTTTCGTTTGACATTTCTCGTGCATCGGTTACAGTCTTGAAGCTCGGTCTTCAACCAATCGAAAGTGTTCTTATATCCAATTTAGCATAGGTTTAGCACTAACCCTGTGTTAAATTTAACCATAAGCAGCCCAATGGCGAATTGTTTTATTTGAAATAAAAGTGTTTGTTTCTGTTTTTGTTCTCGCGGTTGTGACAGCCAATTAGATAACAAATTCGTCATTTTCAAACGTTCTCAAAAGTCAACAGTACGGGTCCAGCAACGTCCCATTCAAAAAATGAGTAAAATATCAAAAGCTTTTCGCATTTTTCTCGCTTCCATAATTTGTTTTCAATATTAAAATAGCCAGTGGTAGTGGTAGTAAACCTTTATTTAAATAGAGTAGTCCTGTGAGCCACAAGAGTCACTGCTATCAATAGGAGCTCCGGTATACAAATAAGATAATACATAATTTATATACATATGCATGAATAATGCTGGTTTTCTTGACCAGTTCAGCTCCTCGTGTGTATGGCGAACAAGTTTTTTTTGACAAGTTTTTCTTGACAAGTTTTACGCCGGTAATATATATGTCGAGTATATTTACAACAATATGATTAAATGACTGTCAAATGAGTATACGATCGAATCTCAAAACAAACCGCAAAATGATAAAACTTCTAAAAACCGCTCATGCAGTTGGCTCAAAGATCTTGTTGCGCAGTTTCCTACTTGAAAAGCAGGCTTGACCAGCTTTTGAACAAGCCTCCTTGTCAAGGGAAACTTGTCAATTTTTTCGCGTACACACGAGTAAATAGAACTTGGCAAGGAAAACTAGTCAGGAAAACTTACCCGTCTGTATAATTTGTGATAATTCGTAATTCACCGATATGTCATATAATTTGTTGTAATTCGGTTTTCATATGTCCGATTTCGCTATTTTCGC